ATCTATCTATCTATCTATCTATCTATCTATCTATCTATCTATCTATCCGAACAAAGCTGAATACTATATATATGTGTGTGTGTGTGTGTGTGTGTGTGGTATTCAGCTTTGTTCGGGTATTAGCATCAACTTCAATGGCACCAAAACCCTAGCCACTATAGAAAACCTCAGCCACAGAATTATCAGAGAAGCCATAGAGATTGAAAAAAGACCTGAAAGCATGAATAGAAGAGATGATTCCACCAGACTGTCAATTATTTGGAAGCCTGCACTCACAAACAAAAAAATCTCCACACCACTAGCCAGGCAAACACCTGGGCACAAACAGATCCCCCCTGATACCTCCAGCCCAAACACACCCCAACCAGGCACCCAGATGAAACGTGGTTTCCTAACAAATGATAGCTGTCAATTTATTCGGAGCCAAGCTGCACTAAAAGCCTCCAATACAGGAACATAATGTTGCCAGCCAATCAAGACACACAAAAAGGCACAAAACAGACAGAAGATATTAGAAACACCAATCAAGCAGAACACAGCAAACTCCAAGACCAAGAAACACAGACCAAGACTCCCAACCAATCAGGATGAAGAAAAAACCATTCTGGCACAGTAGTAGGCTAGCCCCAAATTTAAAACTGAAACAACTGTAAAAGTCTGACTCACAGACGAACACAATGCAGAAGCTTGATGATGGGAGATGAGATTCTGCCGAAACGTTGCTACAACTTTAAAAACACAATTATAATGACGTGGGAAAATACCCGAACAAAGCTGAATACCATACATACATACATACATACATACATACATACACACACACACACACACACACACACACATCTCTCTCCCTTTTTTAAATTTACCTCTTCATTGAATGGCATAGGTGGCACAGTGGGATCCAGCTGGAACATGTAATCACATAAGAGAGCCTTCATACACAGAGCAAGGCTATCCACATCCTTTGCCATTGGTCCTATTGTTCCTAAAACTTGAGAAGATGTGTGTATGAAGTAGTAGTAGACAGCTAATCCAATTTTGGATTTATTGCTCAAAAGTAAAATACATGTCAAATTAAGACCCTGACTTTGATGGTCATGGCTTTGTTTAAATTGCTCTACATTCATTCCTTTGAGAAAAATCATCTTATATTTCCACATTTCTTGTTAATATTTATATTTCAATTACTATCTATCTAATATCCATTGTTCTTCAGCTCAGTCACTTTTTACATTCATTCAGAATTGATCTCTCACCCCTTTCCCACTTTCCACAAAAAATGATATTTACTTAACAGAAGATGAAAAGGCTCCTTTACTCCAGAAACACTGTAAAACAGAGAAATAAACATGTATAGCATACATTCACAAATAGCTTTTTGGAAGACCTTGTCAAGTGAATCATCACTCGGTGACAAATATCAAGTGGGTGTTCTTGTACAAGACACATTTGCTTCTATTTGTTTCTATCTGTGTATGTCCTTTGTTTAGACTAGAGCAATGTTTCTCGGACTTGGCAACTTTTAAGATGTGTGGATTTCAACTCTCAGAATTCCCAACTGATGGATTAATGTCCACTCATCTTGAAGTTTCCAATTTGAGAAACACCATTTAGAGAAATATAAATGGAAGGAGAAAGGAAGAAAGAATTGTTACATACTTGAATTACATGTTATAATATACTTCTAGGGCAAAAACATTGTATTTCTGCAACTAAGTTTAGTGTTTGGTTTTCCTTAGAATGAAAGTATTTGCTAGAGTAATACTATCTCACATTTACACTGTAGGGTCCTAGCACCCTACAGGATGTTCCTTTCCTAGGTGAAAGTCTAAATCAAGGGTCTTCAAACTTGGCAAGTTTAAGACTTGTGGACTTCAACTCCCAGAATTCCTGAGCTAACATGACTGGGGAGGAGGAATTCTGGGAGTTGAAGTCCACAAATCTTAAAGCTGTCAAGCTTGAAGAAGTCTGGTCTAAATCACAGTACATAATATCATTAGTAAAATTTGTGAACATTGATCAAGCTATTTCCTAATTTCTCCAAGATCACCAATATCTCCAACAGGTTTTTCAACAGAAATTGATTGGCAGGGTTTTTAAAAGAGATTTTGTAAACACAGCATTCCAACACCAGCAGATTATTCTGTTAGATGATTTCTGAGATCTTTTCCAGCTCTACAATTCTGCATCTTATCGAAGTGTGATAATCAGTTGCATAGTCTATGATAACTTTAGCATACTTACCTCAATCTACCTGCGGTTGGCTTCAGCCCACAAAGACCACAGAAGCTGGAGGGTAGACGGATACTTCCACCCAAATCTGATCCAAATCCCAAAATGGAGCCTCCTCCAGCAATTAGAGCCCCTTCCCCTCCAGATGAACCCCCTGGAGTTCTCTTATGATCAAAAGGGTTCACAGTCTGCCCAAAAACTACATTGCTGCAGTCATAGCTGAAAGGTGATAGAAATACATAAGGTTGTGGGAACAAATATTTAAAATATAGGAAATCTATAATCTTGTTCCTTCTGAAGGTAGTTTTTAACTCACTTACAAAAATTAAAAAGTCTTCATCTCAGTAGAACTTCTCTTACTGTGTCTGAGGTCCCTAATTCTGATATTCTAAATAATGTTCTACTCTAAAGTAGTCATATATCAAAAAGATTTAGCTGATTTTTCAGATTAACCAGATTATAATATATTTGAAGCAGAAAGCAAGAACCCTAAGGGTATTTGAGTAACTAAGGAGAGAGAAAAGCCTGAAGCCCCACATATCTACAAAAAGACAGGTTTTACAACACAACATGTTCTGACAGCTGAACGTGAAAGTTTTGGGGTTCTGGCTTATCATTTATTATTACTATGGATACATAGTAATGATGGGTACTTCTCTTAGGATCAGTTTTAGTTAAGACTTAGATCTAGGCAAGGGACTGAGACATCATCCATAAATGCAATCATTACCGATTATTCAAATATAGCAAGACATGACCAATACAAGCCAAGTAAAACTGTGAACAAATAACAAACAGGTGTGTGTTTTTACAACTGCACAGTTAGGAGATAAAGTTTATCAATACATAGCAGTGATCAGTAGCTATAAAAACTATTAGCACAAAAACTTACTTGAATAAAGATTGTGGCACATTGGTGAATACAAATGGATTTGCTCCCTGTTTCTTTAACACCTTGACCAACACACTGTCTTCTTCTTCCACATCAAGAAAATGAGAAAAGCCACATGTTGTCAAATGGCCCTAAAGATGAAGGAAATATTAAGGAAACAGGTGTAGATCAGCTATTTATCTTAACACTTAATCAGTGGTGGGATTCAACATTTTTTACTACCGGTTCTGTGGACGTGGCTTGGTGGGCATGGCAGGGGAAGGATATTGTAAAATCTCCATTCCCACCCCGTTTCTGGGGGAAGGTTACTGAAAAATCCCATTCCCTCCCCACCCCACTAACCTGCTTTCCAGCTCCATTCTACTGTGCAGGGGAACAAAAAAAGACCCAGCCAATCAGCTGGAACTTGGGAGACAGAGAATAGATGGGGGCGGGGCCAGTCAGAGGTGGTATTTGCCAGTTTTCTGAATATTCAAAATTTCCACTACCAGAACTGGTCAGAACTGGCTGAATACCACCTCTGCACCTAATAACAGCTTCTACCATCTTTCTTTTCTTCCTTTTCCTCTTCTGTTAGGATTTTTTAAAATACCCACTTAAAAAATAAACACATAACTTGAGGTTTCTATTTCAGTAACTAAATAAAATATTCGACGTAGTTTTGGTTTTCAACTAATTAAAGTTGAAGGTTTGGATTTTCAACTATTTAAAAAGAGTGCAAAAATCGTACCATTAAAAATCAGCAGCCAGATGTGGCAATACAATTCTAGAGGCTCTGGATGGAGGCTGCAAAAATAGGACTATCTGGCTTGCTTTTCCAGTAGGCCACGATCTTCTATCCCTTTCCACTATAAAAGGGCTATATACCATAAGCCAGGGGTCTCCAACCTCAGCAACTTTAAGATTAGTGGACTTCAACTCGAAGAATTCCTCAAGTTTAAGTCCACAAGTCTTAAAGTTGGTAAGGTTGGAGACCCCTGACATAAACAAATATATATCTTAGAAAGGTTTCTAGTGGTCTTCTCTTAGCAGCTGCTTCTTGTATGCCATTTCTAGAAAACCAAGGTATCACGGAAATGGAATCACCTTGTATGCAATGTGGTCCTTGATGCTGACAGGTACCCCATACAATAAACCTTTTTCCTTCTGGGTTTTCAGTTGCTGAAGAAAGGGCTCACATTCTGGAATAAAATGGCGCACACAATTCACCTCCTTGGTAACTGTTAAAGCCTTTTTAGGAAAACAGTAGACAGACAAGTCGAGGGAAATAATTAGAAGTGGAACAATGTGCTTGCCTCTGTTAATTACTCCCTATTCCTGATCCACGATTCCCAGAAGAAGAAAAAAATCTGCTGCTGCGTCTGCTGCTTCACTTTCATCAGTATCTTCTGTCGCTTTACTAAGATCAGTCTTTCCCCCCAAAAAAACTATTCTTATAGTAAAAGACAAACCACGCATTCCAAATATTATTGTAATGTTTATTTATTTATTTTAAATGGTGCAAGTATTTGTTCCCCACCCACCTCTTCCAGGAAGATAGAACAGGAACAAATGCAAAATGCCATGGCAGCATGATCCCACTAGGGGGTACAAACTGACTTCCAAAAACATTTTACAACAAGTATTATTTTACTTTTTTTTTCTAATTTGAGGGGGTTGTTTATATTCTGTAGAAAAAAATTAAATAAATAATTTTTAAAAATATGTCCGCCAAGACATAAACATATATATACATGCATGCACACACACACACACACACACACACACACACATTTTTTAACAGGATTTAATGTAGATTATCAAGAGATTAAAGAGGCTATACTTTGAGATATAATACTAAAATAACTTTTATTGTCCTTTTTTTCCATGAACACATTGGCATTCATAAAAAAAATTCTGATGCCTGTTTTCAAAAGAAATAAATATATAACCATACACATACGTGATATGTGTTACATGTAATTATGGAAATTATATACACAAAATAAAATAAACTGGAGCAATATTTAACTAATTATAGTACAATGTGCATACATATGTGCCTGCACATATATACATACATACATATACATACACACACCCCATGCATTTTTAGTAGGGAATAAAGTAAAGGTCTGGCAAGTTTTCCAGACAGATGGGCATATTTAAAATTTGTGTGCATTTTTCACCAAATGGTAGCTATAGCCTTTTGTGGCATGTTTGGAAGTATCCATTTTCTATGGTTGTTATATTCAAAACCATTTTGTATCTCCACTTAATTATTTTCCGTTCCTATTTTTTTACTATGTATTTTTAATCCCAACTGTATGCCACATTGAGTTGTCTGCAATTAGGAAGTTTGCAAATGAATAGGGAACATTGATCTCCTATATCAACTTTCAGCTTTTTCTTCATTTTCATTATTTCACATTATTTGGATTCAAAAATAAAGACAGAGCAGGAAGACTGAAGGATAGCCAAGTGCTGCTGGGCATACTTTTTCCCTCTTAATTTATCTCAGGAGCATCTTCAAATCGTAGACATACAATACTCAACACTGAGCAGGTAAAACTAGTATAAAATAGGCCAGAAAGAAATAGCCCACATAAAAAAGTATGTAAAATAAATAGAATTAAAACTAAATGACATGGGCAACATAGACAGTGTTTTCTCTCGTCAACATGAGGTCCTCCTCTGCCATGTTGAAGTGACAATTTATGCACTGTAGGATATATGAGATGGGCATATTGATGTATGTAAACAATATTTCTTTCTGTATCTATGTTCTTTGTCTCCAAATATCTTTACCTTTTCCATGTAGGTGTAGAGGACAACATCCGGAGACAAAGTGTCTTCTTTCAGCTTTTCAACCAGTTCAACCAGAGGTAGAGAAAGGATCTCATCACTTGGTAACCCAGGGTTCTGTAATGAAAGAGCACAGTACAACACTTCCCTGAGATTTGATAGAGCAAATCTGAGAGATGGCAAAGGGATTAATGGGTTGTTGTTGGCAAGCTTCACTGAAAAACTGAGGAAGCCTCTTCACTTTGAAAAAGGATGAGAAACAAAACTTTTTCAAAGAAAAAAAACCAAGACAGTCCCAGTTGCCTTTTGGAAAAGCTCTTTTGAGACAACCATGACCTGGATGATTGAGAATCTTCATAGACATCAGAACTAATTACCTAATTTCATTGACATGCATTAAAATTATACAAGATAGATGCTTATTTTACACGTATGCATTGGATTATTTTCCCCTTACAGCAGAGGCCTCCAATCTTGGCAACTTTAAGACTTGTGGACTTCAACAAGTCTTAAAGTTGCCAAGTTTGGGGATCCCTGCTTTACAGTTGCCATTGCATGTCATTTTTAGATGGCTCTTGTTTCAAGGTTTTCCTAGGTCTTGTCTGACATTTAAAGATCCAGGCTCTGCACCCCTGCTATAGAACATACTGTAGGTGCTGCAAAACATTTGAGGCTTTTTTGTTCTACTTGACACAAACTTTCATTTTGTGTCTGCTAAGATGATAAGCTATAAGTTGTGACAACAGAAAACCACAGATGGATCTCAGCCTTAATGTGGGCGGCAAAGCTCCCACTTAATTCAGTAGTAATCCTTTTGGTTAAAGTTGTATTTAAAAGAAAAGTTCATCCCATGAAAATTTTCAGATGTCCTTCTCACCCATGTATGGTCATGAAATATCCTTCAGTTTTATTTAAAAGAGAGATGGTGACCAAACCCAACCTTAATAACAAGAGCCAAACAACAAGGAAATAGCAGAAATCCGAATTTGGGTGTAGTAAATATTAATCTGTAATTATTTACTAAAATTGTATCTTATCCATTAGCTTAATATTCCAACTCCCTGTATATTCCTGAAGTCTGCAGGAAAAATTATCACATATACATTTAAATACACATGTACATAAACATTATATATAATAAGTAATAAGCAGGGGTGGGATTCTACCAGTTTGCACCTATTTGCTAGAACTGGTTGTTAACATTCTAAGCAGTTCAGAGAACCAGTTGTTAGAAGAAATTACTGGCCTAATCCTGAAAGGAAGGGAGGAAGGAAACATTCTGGTGTTGCTTACAGAAACTGCCTCTCCGTTAACCCTTATTACATTCTTGGCAGGACTAGACTTCCTGTCCCTGGAATTTCTCCGGAGTTTTTTTCCCCTTCCTTTGCTGGTACTTTGCTTATGTGAAGTGACCATTCAAAGTTACAATGAACTGAAAAAAGTGACTTATGACCATTTTTCACACTTACGACTGTTGCAGCATCCCCACAGTCATGAGAGGCCAGGTGAGGAGATGCGTGCCTCGATGTGAGTGATATTGAGTGGGCCACGACCAGCCAATAACATGACCACCAAGCCATGCCCACCCAATCACATGACCACCAAGTCACACCCACCAACTAAGCCATGCCCACAGAACTGGTTGTTAAAAAATTTGAATCCCACCCCTGGTAATAAGTACTGTAATAAGTATTTATACAATAATAAGTACTTACACAAGTACAAGTAATGCAAGTAATAAGTGCTTATGCAAAAACTTATACCATACAAGAAATAGTTAGGAAACATGTACCTGGCTTTTAAATGTCTGCACTGATTTTTCCATTTCTATAAAGCCTCGATCCCTTTGCCTTCTTGTTTCTTCTATTTGTTTTTTAATCCTTTTCTGGCCTAACCATTTCAGTACCAAACAAGCTGCTGTTGAACCACAGATCAGAACCACGGCAGTATGAAGATAGATTTTATCCTGAGGCCAGGATTGCTCCAACCATTCTTGAAGTGTAGTGGAAGCTTCTCGCAGCATTCTGGAACCAAATCTATGGGCAATTTTTGGAGATTCTGAAATGCAGAGGAAAGCTCATACAAAGTCCATCTGAATCCATTATAAGAAGATATACAGCATTGGCTTCCTCAAGTTCTAACATGTTATAAGGAATGTCCTATTTATGTTTGATTAAAATATCCCCATCCTTGCAACATGCTAAAGTATTTCAGGAGGATGCAAAATATCTCTCCGCTTTGTTGAGGAGATGCTTCTGGACAAAAGATGTGCCTTTACTGCATATGTATAATTTTAAGCTTAACCTGAAGCTCTGGAACAACCTCTGTGAATAACAATAATTAACAAGAATACCAAGAACAATATGGGTGAACTTTGGTTAGGAAAGCATAGATGTTCAAAAGTAGCCACAAAGAACTTAACAGTCTTCAGATAGAATGACAGGATAAGAAGTATGAATGTGGACAAATGTAGACAAAAAAGCTTCAAACTTTATTAAGACAGGGAAACGCTAATAACTGAAGAGAAAGGGCCAGAAATTTAATCTAAAACTGAAATATATCAACCAACTGCTTATTTGGCGGGGAGAGGGGACTCAAAAGAGAGACTCCAAAGATAATCTCACCTGGACCCTTAAGGAGATCATCAGATTTCTGAGATAACATTCTGTGATCACCGAGCAGACTGTGTTTGACTGCTGGTATCATCCCTTCTAAGATTTAAAAAAAATGTCAAACATTTCATACTAAGGAAGTTGCTTACCTGGATGTTATCAGTCACTGCTTTCTGCCCCGTTTTCACTGCGTTTGTGAGCTCACCTCTTTCTTCGCATTGATCACCTTAAAACATCAAATAGATTGTATGGTTACGGAGTAGTTAGAGATAAGCATATTCTGGAGTCTGAATTAGGTCAAGAGTTTTGTCACAGTATCTGATAAAAAAAATCATAAGATGAATTCAACTGAAATCTGAACTCCAAGATCCCTTCCAACTCTGTAAAAGGGTAAGTTGTGGAATTAGAAGCTCAACATGGTGACCTGCGTAGGTGTGTCCTCTCGGGGATATGACTTATTTAGAAATTCAAATCTGAAGTGATTATCTCTGCTTTTATATTTATTTGGTATAATTCACCTATTTTTAGTGGTCATTCATCTAGTAATCTGATCTTTAAGATCTTTATTTTATTTTATTTTATTTGGGAAGGCACATCTCACACATGTGCATGGACACCCCACTCATCACATGAAAGAACCTGAAGGACGCTCTTCGTTGTGATTGTAGAATCTATCATTAGATTCTACAATCATAGATTCTACAAGCATAGCATAAGCAAAATTCTCTGACACTTTATATCTTGTCTTAGAATGTCAAATTTTCAGTGTTTGTTTAAAACAGCCACACATCTTACACTAAACTCTAGGTGGTTTCCAACCAACAGTTAAAACAGTATCACTGTACAATTAATATAGACATATGACTATTAAAACCACAAATAGTAAAAAAAACCTGGCACCTTAATTTTTTACTTAAATTAATATTTTATTGTGTTTGAGTGTGCACAATAATTATTCATGCATTTCAGATTTCTTTTCCAGTACGCATCACTTTTTATCCCTTTAGTGTTTGGTCATTCACTCACCTTACAGCGCAGACCTAGTAAGAAGCATGCAGAAAATACATTAGCATTGCTACAGAACCTGCATTATAAAAGCTAATTAACCGTACAAAGCTTCCAAGCCTAGACAAACGTGACCAGGTTTAGTACCTGTTCAGGCCAACCTAAAATCAACACAAAGTAAAAAAATAACGAAATGTTCTTCTAAGCCCAATACAAAGCCACCCACATTACATAATCCATGCTGTGTTAATGCCTAACTATTTCAACCCTTATCTTCTCAATGCCACCTCAACTTTGAAAATGTAGTTCAGCCCTGTGGTAGAAGCTCACATGATGATAGCCCTTTTTCCCTACACGTAACACAGGGAAAAGTAAAAACCACACATTTCAGTTATCTTTTGTAAAGCTAAACACTAGCAAGATTCTTAGATACATCTTTCTTTTTTGAGGTTACCGTTCAGTAGAAGAGTTCAGCTAAGAAGACAGAATACATTGCATTTTTGCTGGCTCATGTAACTGTGGGCTGGAGCCAATCAAATTTAACACTTCAACCACCGCCCAGCTTTCTAAAAGGAGCCTATTGAACCAAGTTTGATAAGGTCATCACTATGGTTATTCTGCTATCAGTATCTTGCTACATATAACAACACAGGTGTGTGCTTGCGGGGAGCAAGCACTTTGTAATACTGTGAATAGATGATAGGAAAGCAAGGAAACCATGCTTCTTCCAGCCTGGGCAAAATTCAAAAGAATATTCAGTGAGAAATGTAAAGATTAACTGGAACATGAGCTTTAGGATTGAAGATCATTCATTCACCTCACAATCTAGCAGCCACAAATTATAATTTTAACTGTTAGCCAACAGAAAACACAGTTGCCTGGAAGTTAGGAAAATCTGATACTTGTGATCTTATCGAGTCACTGGACCTACTGGAGAGGTCCTGCCAGACATGGTATCCTAGTGTTTCTCAACCTTGGCAATTTTAAGATGTCTGGATTTGGACTCCCAGAATTTCTCAGCCAGCAAGCTCTGAGAAACATTGCTGAGGTTGGGAAATACTAGGGTAGCCAATCAGAGCTAGGGCTTCTACTAGAAGGATATGAAATGTTTGACGGTGTCTACGGAGCCCTTAAGAGCTTAAGGCAACTCAAGTTGGAGAACAGCAGTTTTGAATCGAGGTTGGGGTGTGTGCATTGGCAGTGGGCTAGGAACGGGAGGAAGACTTTCAAGAAGAGATTGGACTGCCATTTGTCAGAAATGGTGTAGGGATCTCCCACTTGGGTGGGGGGTTGTACTAGATGACCTACAAGGTCCCTTCCAACTCTGATTATCTGTTATCTGTTATTTGTTCTGCTCTCAAGAAACAGGGACTTGTACATACTGACAAGGGGCCAATCAGAATGTATGTATCTGTGCTAAGGTCAAATTTGGGTTAAACGTTTATGGAAAAGTCTTTTATAGATGCCTGGTTCAAGCAGGTAACATGGGATGTAGCCATAGGCACAGGCCCCAAACCAGAGGTGGTATTCAGCAGGTTCTGACCAGTTCTGGAGAACCGGTAGCAGAAATTTTGAATAGTTTGGAGAATGCTACCTATGACTGGCCCATCCCCGTCTATTCTCTGCTTCCCGAGTCCAAGCTGATCGGCTGTTGCCCTGCACAGGAGAATGGAACTGGAAAGCAGGTTAGTGGGGTGGGGAGGGAACAGGGATTTTACAGTATCCTTCCCCTGCCATTCCCACAAAGCCACACCCACAGAACCAGTAGTAAAAAAATTTGAATCCCACCACTGCCCCAAACCCGTTTGTTTGTACCAAAAATCTATCAAGAACAAACCTAAGGTGGTTCTTTCTTTCTCCCCTATCCCCTTTTGATTGTACAAAGTAGGGAAGGATAATCATGCACTTCCTTTTTTTATGCTCCTTTTTGTCCATTTTCCTTTAGCATATTCAGACCAGCCCTTGTCTTGTGTGCATTAAGAAATCAACCATGATCATTAATGACCATTATCTAGTTGGGAAATGCGGCATTATTTAACAATGTCAGAAAAATATTTGAAGTTGAGAAAAATATTTCTAGGCATTGTCTTTCTCGGTGTTAACACAGTGTGGGTGAAGGAATACTGAAATGAAAATGAATCATCATTCTGCACAAAAGCTTATTGTCTCTCCTTTCAAAGCAACTGTGTTTAATTTTGAGCTTTCAAGTGGCAGCGGGGAGGGGTATTCAAGAGAACAAAATCGGGGATGGAGGACCCTTCGCACCATTAGCTTTTTTAGTTTCAAAACCCTCGGAAGCACTTTAACAGTGATCCACATTTGCAATGTATTATTGAAAAAAAGAGAAAAATTGCTGGTCTGTGACTGGTGGTCGCATCTCCTGAGACAACAAGAATCTCCATTCAAGTGAAAGAAAGAAAAGAAAAAAAGTAAAAGAAAGGACAAATGTGTACTTTGCCCGCAGCTGACCCTTTACAGGAGAACAGTAGGAAACTGTTGAAATCTTGTCAGTTGGCTACTGAGGAGGATGTGCCAAGTCACAAAACCATCATTCCCTTTAGAACAGGGGTGTCGAATTGGATTTCATTGAGGGCTGCATCAGGGTTGTGTTTGACTTGAGGGGATGGGGGGGCACGGCTGGGGTGGGTGTGACCAGCCCAACATCACTTGTGTCAGGAACACCTGTGGTGGTCCAGGCAGGGCTGATAGGATCCATTGTCTCCAGTGGAGGAAGGCTTGACCAGGAAGAGTGCCTAACCCTTATCCTCCAGAGTAGCCTTGCCATCTGCTGGTGGCCACATGCTAAGGCAGGATTTCCCTCCCTCCCTCCTTCCTTTTCTTCTTTTTCCTTCCCTCTTGATTCTCCTTTCTTCTTCCTTCCCTTCTTTCCTTCCTTTTCCTTCCTTTCTCTCTTTCCTTCATTTAATTTGTCTTTCCTCTTTCTGTTTTTCCTTTCCTGTCCCTTCTTGGATGCTCAACGGCAAAACATTTCTCCTTTTGTTATGTTTTGCTTTTAGTTTGTTTTGCTAGCCCTCTCCCCCCGCCCCCCAGCATGACCCTCCCGAGCTCCATTTTCACTAGCAGAGGCACTGTGGGCCAGTCATTCTCTGTTTCCATGGCTACCCCACAGGCCGGATCTAAGCACCCCATGGGCCAGATCTGGCCCGTGGGCCTTGAGTTTGACAGCCCTGCCTTAGAAGAACAGAAACTCAGAACAACAGGAAGCAGGAGCTTCTACAGAATTCCAGCCTCTAAAATGAACAAACACACTCAGCTTTCCAACACTGCTGATGTTATCGCTCTCAGAGACATGCCGAGTTGCTTTCAAACTAGCCAAGAATCCTTGAGAGTGTGTGATAAATTGAGACACTGATATGCATGCCATCTAATTCTGAAGAGTTTCATGTGTATCACTCCCGGAGTCTTTGGAGGGGATGACTAATGCTCCTTTCTTCCTCTCTGTTTCCCTCTGGGTTTGTTTGTTTGTTTATTGCCATCTTTGTTCTTTTGTCTTTGCTGTTTGTATGTTTGGGGGTTTTTTGCCTTTAGCACTGTTTCATGTTTTTTGTCTTTAAATGTTTTAACATTTGGGAGTCAGGCAGCATGGAAATGTAATAAATTAGTACTCATTATTATTATATGCTTTAAGTTAACAAAATGTCCAATAAACTTCCTCATATTCATACATTTCTTAGTGACTTGCTAAAGAGCAAAAATATGATCTGTGTATTCCATGATCATCGTAAAGCCATACTGCACTTCCCAAAATGTGGTAACTGTCACCTCTGATCTTCTTTCAATCACAATCCAGGGACACTTAAATGAATCCCCTATAATTTTTGTGTTCAGTCTTACTATCTGTATTAGTGAAGGGGTCTCCAACCTTGGCAACTTTAAGACTTGTGGACTTTGCTGGCTGAGGAATTCTGGGAGTTGAAATCCACAAATCTTAAAGTTGCCAAGGTTGGAGACCCCTATATTAGAGAACAATAATGGCACTCTTCCGATTGTCAGGCATGCATGTGTCTTTATATACACATTAAACAAGTTTTGACATATACATTTATTAAATATATTAAACAAGTTGAACAGCCATAAAGGATTAGAGTTAGCAAACTACATCTATATTTAAGCATATACAGAGTTACCCTTGCAACCTTACCTTTAAAAAAAAAACACCACAGCATTTATGATTTGCTTTTCACCATATTTTTCTTGAATGTTAATTCTAATACTATTTGTTTCAATACCATTCTTTGACACACCACTATTTTCCAAATGCTTCTCCCAGCATTTTCAATTTTCTGTACTTCTTTTATAGCCCACCTCACCAACTTCCAAAGTAATATTTTAATTCCATCTCAACCTGAGAATCAACCTGCATTTCTCTGTCTACCACATATTTTTAACCAAGCCTCATTGACTTATATTATTTACAACTGTATTTTCTCTACAGGCACATGAATCTTTTATATTCATTTTAATATTGTTCTTATATTCATTTTTCCATCCTTCTACAATCTTTTTTTATTTCATCACATCAACAAATATCCTTTTCCAAGCTTCCTTTAGCATACATCCACAAATTCATTCATTCATTCTTTTGGGAGATTAATCTATCTGGCAATGTTTTTTCACATAGAACTAACACTTTCATTTCAGTTTTGCAAATAATTTTTGAGATTCAAAAATAGTATCAGTTACCACAGTGATATCCTAGATCACTGGTCTGGTTTTAAATTGTTCCAGATTCATCTGTTCAGGTTTACAGAAAAGGTATTTTTTTAAAAATTGCACAATCAACTTATCTCATTCACAGAATTTTATAGTACAGAATTTGCTGACACCATCATTTCCCATGTATAGCTTTCTCAAAGTCTCAATCATTGATGAAGGAATGACAGAATAATTGATGAGGCATTTTGATGAGATGGCATAATTCAGAGGTGTCTGTCTGAAAGATCATGTTGTCCATATGCTTTATTTAGCCCTAATTACAAAACATTGCTAGAAATTCTCTACTTTCTAAACCGTATCTTCTAATGTCTCCATATCTTGTCTTGCTGAACATTGGTGAAAACTGAGCTAACCCAGCAATAAACTGCATAAGTCA